TTGATAGCTACAAAAAAATACTATTTACTGAGTATTGACAGCAACAACAAAATTAAATTTGTATAGCGCCTTTCACGTCGGGAGGACATCCCAAGGCGCTGAACAGTCAGGAATCAGGACCCGAGTGTGGGGAGGCAGGTTTGGGGTGAGAGAGGGCAGAGAGGTAGGAGGGCAGCGGAAGGCATAGTCAAAAAGGAGGGCCTTGAGTCATGCCTTGAAGGAGGCAAGAGAGGGAGCAAGGCAAAGGAATAGTGGGATGAAGTTTCAAAGAGTGAGGGGAGAGTAGCCTGAAAGCCCGGCCGCTGATGGTACGAGACAATTGAAGAAAAAGTAGCTGAAAGAAGAAAAAGTAGCTGAAGCTATTTCAAAAGGATTCTGTCGCTGCTTAAAAAAATTAATTTCTCTTGAATTCCAAGTGAGTTTAAAGAAAGGATTTGTATTTTTATAGAACCTTATCTCACCAAAATATCTCAAAGCACTTAATAGGTAATTACTGCCAAGCACAAAGAACTATTTTTTTGGTCGGCAAAAATCTTTCAAAAATCTTTAAAATTATAATTCAAGCATAAATTGCCACTGGCTAATGAATAGTTATTCTGAAGGGCATCCAGATTGACAAACTGTGTCATGTTTATATCTACAATCAAGACAAGGCAAACCACTCACTAATTGTATATTGACATATGACACAATGTCTGCTACAGGCAGACAAATTAAATGTATATCAATTATTTACATGATTGACCTCAGAAATAAAGGGGCTTTGTGTAAATATGTCCATCTGAACAAAGAAAATAACACACAGCATATTGCTACAGAGCTAATCCCGGGGAGGCAAGCGTTACATTTTCAAAAATAGCATTCATTCAAAATATTTGTATGTATTTCATGATTAGTAAGTAATAATGAAGAACCCAAATTATAAAAAGTATGAATTTATATATAGCATAATATTAGTATAAATATATATTTTTTCATTTTATTTTTTCCAAATAAATTTGGATGAGTATAATTTTGCAAACAATCCGATACATTTAGGATTCATTCAAAGAATTGAAATTAGAATTGAAAATTATGTAACAGTTTAAGAATATCTTCTAAACATATAACAGAACAATACAAATTTCTTAAAATTCGCAGTTGGTAAACAAAGGTCAACTTTACATAATGGTTGTTAAACAACCACATGATAGGTTTGTGAATCAGCGTTCATGTTTGATTATATGAAATTTATTGCACAGTATCAAACTGTGAAGCAAAAAAAACTAATTGCTACCCTCTGGTGGTTATTTGTTTCAATGCACCTTATTGTTCTTAATGGTGCTTTTTAAAATTGATTTGACTGCTCGTGATATATTTTTAACCTCGGAATACGAGTAAACTTAATACTGCTAATGCTGTTTTTACTTATTTGTATGGAATTGTTAATACAAGGACTCAGTGAAGGAAGCAGCTGTCTTAAAAGGGGAATGGTTGCCTGAAATACAGAGTGGTGTGCGACAAGTTATGATGAAATGACCAGTCAGATATATGTTTCGTGGACACTTGCCATTTGTATGAATAGACTTTTGTCCCTGGGACAGATATCCCATTGATATAAATTCTGTATATCTAATAGCAAACAGTGTGGCCCACAAAGCAATAAACGTTTAGCAAAAAAATTTAAAACAAAAAGCAATAGAGTGCAAGGATGACACAATGACAAAGAGCAATGAAGCACAAACTACAAACAATAACACAATAATACAGTTATCATTTAAGTGTAGGATTATTTGGCAGAAATACAGCTGTGTAACAGTAGATTGTGCAATAATCTGGTCCTGACAGGAATAATACAATGGATAAAATAAATCATACAGTTTTAGAGTTAGAGCAACCAAGAAAATATGTCTAATCTGGCTTATTTTAAGATGATACATACAGTAACTGGTTGATATAGTTTGGCTGATGAAGTTTTACAGCTAACAATTGCAATCTGGCAAACATGCCACAGTTGTTCCAATATGTAACCTGGCAACAACAACAACAACAACTTGTATTTATCTAGCACCCTTCATGCGGGTAGAGTCTCAGAGCGCTTAACAGTGGTAGGGCCTGACCCTGAGCCAGGGGGAGGTAACTGTAAGCACCGACGAAAAGGAAGGTCTTCAGGCGTGATCTGAAAAAGGGGGAGGAGGTGGCAAGATTGAGGAATTGAGGGAAAGAGTTCCAAAATTTTGGGGCATAATGGCTGAAAGCATGGCTGCCGATGGTGGAGTGGAGGGTACGAAGGACAAGCAGGAGGTTGGAGCCAGCCGAGCGGAAGGTGGTGGTGCAGAGTTTAGAGCGGGTGAGCATATGAGTGCCGGAGTTTTTAATTAACTGGATTTTGTGGATGGTGGGAGTTGGGGAGACCAGTGAGGAGAGCATTGGAATAGTCGAGACGGGAGGTGACGAAAGGGTGGGAGAGGATTTTGGCTGCAAGGGATGTGCAAGAGTGTGCACAATGTGTTTAGATGCACAGTTGTGACACTGTGTTGACAATTCAGGGGTGGACTGGCTGTATGGTAAATTGAGTGCCCCCATGAATCGCTCCCAATGCTAACCACCCCATGCAGCTTAGATCAGAAGTTCCATTTAAGCACCATCAAAGTTTTTAAACGCACAATATTTTATGGTTGATGGCAACCACACTAATGGGAGCACCACCATGCAGATTGGGGGATGCATTTTACGTGCAATTTCAAACCATTTCAGGGAGCAATTCCCACGACTGGTACACATACTGTTTTCAGGACACCAACTACAGAAACTGTGTTGAGGCTCAGTTACATAGTGTGTTGGAGGCTCAGTTACACAGTGTGTTGAGGCTCAGTTACACAGTGTGTTGGAGGCTCAGTTACACAGTTGAGGCTCAGTTACACAGTGTGTTGGAGGCTCAGTTACACAGTGTGTTGGAGGCTCAGTTACACAGTGTGTTGGAGGCTCAGTTACACAGTGAGTTGGGGCTCAGTGACACAGTGAGTTGAGGCTCAGTTACACAGTGTGTTGAGGCTCAGTTACACGGTGTGTTGGGGCTCAGTTACACAGTGTGTTGGGGCTCAGTTACACAGTGTGTTGGGGCTCAGTTACACAGTGAGTTGGGTCTCAGTGACACAGTGAGTTGGGGCCCAGTTACACAGTGAGTTGGGGCTCAGTTACACAGTGAGTTGGGGCTCAGTTACAAGGTGTGTTGGAGGCTCAGTTACACAGTGTGTTGAGGCTCAGTTACACAGTGAGTTGGGGCTCAGTGACACAGTGAGTTGGGGCTCAGTTACACAGTGAGTTGGGGCTCAGTGACACAGTGAGTTGGGGCTCAGTTACACGGTGTGTTGGAGGCTCAGTTACACAGTGAGTTGGGGCTCAGTGACACAGTGAGTTGGGGCTCAGTTACACAGTGAGTTGGGGCTCAGTTACACAGTGTGTTGGGGCTCAGTTACACAGTGTGTTGGAGGCTCAGTTACACAGTGTGTTGGGGCTCAGTTACACAGTGAGTTGAGGCTCAGTTACACAGTGTGTTGGAGGATCAGTTACACAGTGTGTTGGAGGCTCAGTTACACAGTGAGTTGAGGCTCAGTTACACAGTGAGTTGGGGCTCAGTTACACAGTGAGTTGGGGCTCAGTTACACAGTGAGTTGGAGGCTCAGTTACACAGTGTGTTGGGGCTCAGTTACACAGTGTGTTGGAGGCTCAGTTACACAGTGAGTTGGGGCTCAGTTACACAGTGAGTTGGGGCTCAGTGACACAGTGAGTTGGGGCTCAGTGACACAGTGAGTTGGGGCTCAGTTACACGGTGTGTTGGGGCTCAGTTACACAGTGTGTTGGGACTCAGTTACACAGTGTGTTGGGGATCAGTTACACAGTGAGTTGGGTCTCAGTGACACAGTGAGTTGGGGCCCAGTTACACAGTGAGTTGGGGCTCAGTTACACAGTGAGTTGGGGCTCAGTTACACGGTGTGTTGGAGGCTCAGTTACACAGTGAGTTGGGGCTCAGTGACACAGTGAGTTGGGGCTCAGTTACACAGTGAGTTGGGGCTCAGTTACACAGTGTGTTGGGGCTCAGTTACACAGTGTGTTGGAGGCTCAGTTACACAGTGTGTTGGGGCTCAGTTACACAGTGAGTTGAGGCTCAGTTACACAGTGTGTTGGAGGATCAGTTACACAGTGTGTTGGAGGTTCAGTTACACAGTGAGTTGGGGCTCAGTTACACAGTGAGTTGAGGCTCAGTTACACAGTGAGTTGGGGCTCAGTTACACAGTGAGTTGGGGCTCAGTTACACAGTGAGTTGGGGCTCAGTGACACAGTGTGTTGGGGCTCAGTTACACAGTGTGTTGGAGGCTCAGTGACACAGTGAGTTGGGGCTCAGTGACACAGTGAGTTGGGGCTCAGTGACACAGTGAGTTGGGGCTCAGTGACACAGTGAGTTGGGGCTCAGTTACACAGTGAGTTGAGGCTCAGTTACACAGTGAGTTGGGGCTCAGTTACACAGTGAGTTGGGGCTCAGTTACACAGTGAGTTGGGGCTCAGTGACACAGTGTGTTGGGGCTCAGTTACACAGTGTGTTGGAGGCTCAGTGACACAGTGAGTTGGGGCTCAGTTACACGGTGTGTTGGGGCTCAGTGACACAGTGAGTTGGGGCTCAGTTACACAGTGAGTTGGGGCTCAGTTACACAGTGTGTTGGGGCTCAGTGACACAGTGTATTTGAGGCTCAGTGACACAGTGAGTTGGGGCTCAGTGACACAGTGAGTTGGGGCTCAGTTACACAGTGAGTTGGGGCTCAGTGACACAGTGAGTTGGGGCTCAGTGACACAGTGAGTTGGGGCTCAGTGACACAGTGAGTTGGGGCTCAGTGACACAGTGAGTTGGGGCTCAGTGACACAGTGAGTTGGGGCTCAGTGACACAGTGTGGCTGTGGGTGTTGCTATGGTTACCGGTGCTGGTGGTGGTGGTGTCTGGTTGCCTGGTAACCAGTCACAGCAACATGGCGGCGGCGGCGGCGGCCGACGAGGTGAGACCCGCGGCGCTGCTCAGCTGATCACACACAGACAGAGCCGAGCACTGCAGGGCATCCTCCCCGGGCACTGCAGGGCATCCTCCCCGGGCACTGCAGGGCACCCTCCCCGGGCACTGCAGGGCACCCTCCCCGGGCACTGCAGGGCACCCTCCCCGGGCACTGCAGGGCATCCTCCCCGGGCACTGCAGGGCATCCTCCCCGGGCACTGCAGGGCACCCTCCCCGGGCACTGCAGGGCACCCTCCCCGGGCACTGCAGGGCACCCTCCCCGGGCACTGCAGGGCACCCTCCCCGGGCACTGCAGGGCACCCTCCCCGGGCACTGCAGGGCACCCTCCCCGGGCACTGCAGGGCACCCTCCCCGGGCACTGCAGGGCATCCTCCCCGGGCACTGCAGGGCACCCTCCCCGGGCACTGCAGGGCACCCTCCCCGGGCACTGCAGGGCATCCTCCCCGGGCACTGCAGGGCACCCTCCCCGGGCACTGCAGGGCACCCTCCCCGGGCACTGCAGGGCACCCTCCCCGGGCACTGCAGGGCATCCTCCCCGGGCACTGCAGGGCACCCTCCCCGGGCACTGCAGGGCACCCTCCCCGGGCACTGCAGGGCATCCTCCCCGGGCACTGCAGGGCACCCTCCCCGGGCACTGCAGGGCATCCTCCCCGGGCACTGCAGGGCAGGAGAGGAGGGGGGCAGCCTGTGAAAGCGCTGCACACAACAGAGCAGCCTTAGAGCATCCGGGGCAAAGGCAGGGAGGGCAGCACAGGGCAGTGTGGTGTTGGGCAGGGAGGGCAGCACAGGGCAGTGTGGTGTTGGGCAGGGAGGGCAGCACAGGGCAGTGTGGTGTTGGGCAGGGAGGGCAGCACAGGGCAGTGTGGTGTTGGGCAGGGAGGGCAGCACAGGGCAGTGTGGTGTTGGGCAGGGAGGGCAGCACAGGGCAGTGTGGTGTTGGACCGATGAGAGAACCGCAATGCAGAAGAAGAAAGTGCATTGTAGCATTGGGCAGCCATTGCAGTGTAGGAGAGGGCAGGTCAGAGCGATGCCACCCTTACATAGGAGCCAAAATAAGTGTCAAAAATTCAACATACCAGTGTAGTGCCAGCAATGGTAACAGTGAGAGTGCAAGAAAGGTTTGTTTGGGTAACTCTGGAAGTAATCAGTTTGGCAACATTTCATTGTAACCATAGATACAATGAAAATTATGACACACTCCTAATGTGAGTTGAAATACAGTGATTTCTTATCAGAATTCATAACAGTCATTTATCTTGTAGGTATTTGGATGGATCCATGGTCAAGCTCCTGCCTGAAGTTGCTACCATGTAGTGAAAGGCATGCAATGTTTGTGTTGATATATTGGCAACAGGATATTCGGTTTACTTTGGTCCTGTTACTTATTAAAGTTTGTGTGGCTTTCTGTGCCTAAAAATTCTTTTGTAAGATTATTCTTTTAAAAGAAACTTGAAATATTGTCATCTCCTGCTTGTGAACTGCAGTGAACTCATAGAGATAAACATTCATTATATTTGGAATAAAAATAAGGCAGATTGCTCAAATATAATCATGTCTGACATCTAAAACTTTAATTTACACTCAAGTATGGAAATTGTGTAGTCATCACTTGTGCAACATTGCCCGCTTCCATCCCTATTCTACACAAAACTTTGCTGAAATCTTTATTCACACCTTTGCCACCTCCCAACTTGACTTACTAATGCACTCCTTGTCAATCTCCCTGGATACCCCACCCATAAATTCCAGCCCATTCAAAGCTCCTCCACACACATCCCCATCTGTCCCAAATTTCACATGACTATTGCCAGGCTCCACTGTCGCCCTGTCTCCAACAGAATAATTTGAAGGTCCTCATTCTTATCCATAAAAGCAAGTTGTTGTTGTCGTATTATCCATTTTAAGATGGCAGCCAATTTGTGCACAGCAATGTTCTCAAAAACCACCATGAAGTAAATGACCAATTTTTATTTGGGTGGGTCTTTGGCCAGAACACCAGAAGAAACTCATTTTGAGTAACGCCATGAGATCTTTAACCGTCATCTGCTGTGCACAATTGCCTGCCAGTCAATTCACTTTACAGTATATTCTGTGAAGCGCTTTGAGATGTCTCATCTAAACAGACAGACAAGACCTTACTTTAATGTCTCATCTGAATGACGGCACTTTTAACAATGCAGCACGCTCCCAGCACTGCACCATAATGCATGAGTTCAAGATCCCAATGATGAGGGTTAATCACACAGTCTTCAGAATCAGAGGCAAGAGTACTACCATCAAAGCTAGTTTGATGCCTAAGAAATAAAGATAGATTGAAGAATGAAGCACATAGATTTAAAAATTGTTTTATTATTGCTTAAATTAAAAACAGATTCTAGAACTTCAGTTAAGGGCCTTTAAATGGAAGAGGCTTGCAGATGTTCATGAGCTATATCTGGCTAATGAGTAAGTAACATACGTTCAGTTTCTATTCTTTAGATTAAGTACAAGACAACACGGTAATAACAAAATGGTCTGCAGATATAAAAAATTAGACATCCCATTATAACAGTTCTGTGAAAAAAGTGACTTCTAGTTCCACTTTTCCAGTTGCAGCTTTCAAGTGGTCACTGCTGGGTCCTGCCACAGATCAGCTTGCTTCCTGCAGATGTGTCCAAAAAGCTGACCAATTGGCTGTAAGCTGTAAGGGTCCCACACTCAGGGTAACTGCAGATTAATAAGAGACCAACTTGTTAAACTCCAGTGAGGGAGGCACTTTATAATGGGGTTGGCATGTAATCCATAATCAGTTGCAGTCTTAAGGGAGCAAACAATATTTGTTCCTTTACAATTCTATAGAAATAAATAATTGACATTAAGATACTGTTCATGATATATGGACTGTTCACCAATATACAATGAACCATTAAACAAAATGCAGTAGACCTCCAACATTTATTTACCCCCAAATCCCCAGATGCTCACCCCATCTCCATTGGCACTTATTCGCAATGGGGGAAAGCAAATTGACCAACTTCTGGATAATCAGATCGCTGCCAATGTCAGATCCTGCACACTGCACAAGATAGTGATGTCAGTGGTGGTGACCTGATTGCCCAGAAGTTGGTTATTTTGGCTTTGTAAGTACCAGCTGGAGTTTTGTCTTTCTGCACACATGCAGAGTGAATGCAGAAACGACTGTGATATAATGGGGCTATATCTTCCAATACTCTTATAATAAGCATGTTGAGTTTTTGTAGTGACTGAGTATTTGTAGGCAAACATGACAGCTAATTTGAGCACAGCAATACCCCACAAACAGCCTTGAAATGAATGAGTAACTATTTCTGTAAATTATTTGAAACTCTGCATTGGTTTGAATATACAGTTATGTATGTTTTGCTGAAAGTGTAGGAAACTGAAAGCAAAAATTTTAATTAAACAAAACATTCACCTTGAAGTTAGCAAGAATTTTGACAGGTTAAAACATATTTAAAATTGTTTTTGTTTGAACCTTACATATTTAATATTTATATAAAGAATAATATGAATGTGTAAATAGTAAAATCCATAAATGAGGCATTATATAGACTTTAAATCCAAAGCACAAGTGTGTGCCAGATTACAATTAATCAATGAAACTCGACTACGGAATTTGCACTTATGCTCGAAAGCAGCATAACAAATAAACACTTCAATAAGCATTTCAATTGCCAAGAACTATTCATGCATGTGGAAGAACTATTCATACACCACATTACCCACAATTCGTGGGCATGATTGAGAAATAGTGTATTTTACTCAATACAGAAATGTCTTAAGCGAGCTGATTAATGGGAGCAGAATTGGATAGGTTTGAGAAAGAGAGAGAGAGAAATGGTAAGCTGCAATTTACCATTGCTTAGAATACATTTCTAGTTTATCCAGAGTTTGCTGATCTTAACCAGGATGGTACTGGACTACAGCAAATGGCCAAATGCCCTTGGTTAAGGAGGGGAAAATCAGCTTTTTTTTTTGCATTGTATTACTAAGCAACAACAACAACTTGCACTTATATAGAGCCCTCCATGCAGGGTAGAGTCTCAGAGAGCTTAAGCAGTGAGTCCTGCTGGAGGTGCATGTACGTGTGCTGCCGAGTAAGGGTAGGATTGGAATCATCTATAGTGTTCCCAAGATCAAATAACTTTCCAAAACTCTGAAAGCCATGTGGGTAAGTTGGCAGAGTGTGACCAGTGCAGTGGTATTGTTCTCCAGGGAAGGAGTCAAATGTCTTCAAAAGAGAAAAGGAGGGAAGAAAATAAAGTTTTTGCAGACTTTTTCAGATAAATTGCCTTTTCACCTCACAGTTCTTTGTGGACCTTGCAAAATAGCTATCATATTTGCCTCCAAAATAGCCATTACACTTGACAATAAAGCTTATTGAGATATTACACCTTAATAAGGAAAAAAAAAAGTTCTTTCCTTCCTATAGCTTTATATATAATACTAATCCTTATATATATATTATTTTACGTTATATGTAGAGATATATTGTTATAATTCATCATTTTTTGTAACAATAAAAGTATTTGTCATTTGCCTAATTTTTAGACAGCTAACAGAAGCACCTGATGTCTCGAGATTTTCTTTGCTAAAATACTTATGGCTTAATAACAACAAGGTATGTGAGAATTTTAATTCAAATTACAATACAAATTTACATTGACATAATCCCGTTCACTACGGGAGGATATTCCAAAGCACTTAATAATTGTTATTAATCCCTGACTATCCAGCGCCTTGGGACGTCCTCCCGACGTGAAAGGCGCAAAACAAATGTAATTTATTGTTGTTGTTATGAATTAATTTGAGTTGTATCAAGATTGTGCAGTAACAGCATTATTTATTTTGTTACATTGGGAATAGCCAGATGGACCACATAGGTGATTTTTAGTCTTATGCTCCTATGAACCTCAAAGACAGCTGAAGACATAATGACCCTGGACCTAATGAGGTTTAAGACACAATTTTCTTTTTTACAAAAAGAGTAAATAAAAGACCGAGAAAATCTTCTGGCAAGTGATTATTGGCATCATGCTAGGTCTGTTCAGCGTACCTGCTCTTTCCATTTATTCAGAAACAATACGAAGGAGGGTACTTATTGTAATGCTGGAACATGTTCTGAGATGACAAGATAAGAAAGCAACCTCGGATGTGAGCATTTGAAGTGGATGGGCTCAGGAATAGAGATGGATTTAATAGTAGTTGTGCACATTGTAGGTTATGCAGACTTTAAAGATTGGAGCAGTAAGTATGAAATATATGACCATAGGAAATGGATTTCCATTGGCAAAGGCGGAAAAGATTTAAGTAAAATAACTGATTATTCACTGAAAGTCTCCAGTTGTAAGACTAAGTGCAGATAATAACGATTGAATGGTAAAAAGAACATTAAGGGAAGCATGAAGTATTTATTTGATTGTGTTTTTGGTTGTCTTCTTTCTACCCCCATCCCCCGGCCGCCCCCCCACCCGCCCTGACTTGATTACTTAGTCAGGATTGTGACGCACTTTGAGATAACTTCCATACTTGAAAGGTGCTATATAAGTATAATAATAATGACAATAATCATTCTTGCATTTGAAATAGCACCTTATCACATCTTCAAAACGTCTCAAAGCACTTCACAGAATATGCTGTAAAGCGAATTGACTATATTTTATGGGTGGCAGCCAATTGCGCACAGCAGTGTCCCAGTCATGGATTGAGTTACCAAATTATTAATGTTTTTGAAGGGATTATTACCCCTGGAAAAGTGAGCCGGCATTTGACTAACAACCGGGTTCACACTTACTGCTAGGTAAAGAGAAGAGTGTGGAGTAAGAAAATTTGCCCAATGTTTCACCCAGCCTGGGAATCAAACCCAGGTCCTCTCACCTGCGAGGCAAGCTTTCTGGCCGGTGCACCATGGGTTGTCCACCACTGGTCCAGACAATGATCCTCAAAATCCTGACATTGGGCTTGAACCCACAATTTTTTGATTCTAGAGGCGAGAGTGCAACCAACTGCGTCAGGCTACTTAAGGACCTTCCCAAAGCTGAACAGTGTTGTATAGATTTTGTTCTTCACACTGACCTTCTCCAAGATGGCATCAAAGGCGATTCAGAATACTTGTGTTTACTGGTGGAGATAAGAAGGATATATTCTATTAATCCCTTAGGACTAGAAATGCAGCAGATATGCAGAGGGAGTGCTGTCAGACGCACACTGAATAGTTTATCCAGTGTTTTTGTTGACTTTTGTATCTTCTTTGTTTTAATATGGTCAATTGTTCCTTACTTTCAGCCTTATTAGTATTTTGAGGTTAAAATATTCCTGTATACTTTGTCAATTTAAAAAATGTTGTTGACTTCATGTGCTGTTATGATCTAATCTTTCGTATGTTAATTTATGGTTAAGAGAACCAATTGAGTAACAAAAAGTACAATCATTACGTTTGATGATTTTCTTTTGATGAAAGGGACAATTTTAAAATGCACAGGATCGCCTTTCACCTCAAGATTTGGACTTCATTTTCACACCTTAACACCAGTAATGTGCAGCATTATTTTTGTCATCCCAGATTAAATGCATGTCTAGTCAGCTCATTGAGGCTATAAATTCTACAAGATCACAAGAAAGGATGGAAGAAGACTCTTTGACCCATTTTCCCATCTTTCTAGTATACTCACTTTACCTTCTTTCCATAATGGAATTAATTATCTTAAATATTTTTACAATTAATCCAGTTTCACAGCCTTTAGAAACATAGGAATATAGGAACAGGAGTAGGCTGTTCAGCCCTTCGAGCCTGTTCGACCATTTAATTAGATCATGGCTGATCTGTACCTCAACTAATCCTTTCAATTTCATTTCCTACTAAAAATCTATCAACCTCATTCTTGAAGGTGTGGATTGATCCAGCCTCCATGGCCTTTTGGGGGAGAGAATTCCTGATCTCTACCACCCTTTGAGTAAAAAAAATGCTTCCTGATTTCACTCTTAAATGGCCTGGTTCTAATTTTAAGACTGCGTCCCTTTGTTTTGGATTCCCCCACCAGAGGGAATAGCTTCTCTGTATCTACCTATCAAATCCCTTTATCATTTTAAATACCTCAATCAAATCACCCCTCAACCTTCTAAACTCAAGGCAATACAACCCAAGTTTACGCAGCCTTTCATTGTAACTTAACCCTTTTAGGCCTGGTAACATTCTGGTGAACCTGACGTGCACCTTTTCCAGGGTCAATATATCTTTCCTGAGATGTGGTTGCCCAAAACTGAACCCAGTAGTCCAGATGGGGTCTGACTAATACCCGTCCTCCTATTCCATTCCAGGTAATAATTAAAAACTGCAACATTTGTGCTGAATAACTATCTTAACACCCAATATTCTGAAAACAATCTGCATTATGGCTTACATTCCCACCCCTTTGCAGTTCTCGAACGACCTGATGGTCAAACAGTACAAATAGACTAACCACCCTCTACTGATGGTCAATGACATTGTTTTCACAGTATTCATTTAATCAGAAAGTCTTATGTTCAAACATTGATCCAATGTAAAATTGCAGCTTAAATTCATTTTCTGGAACTCAATCAAGGAGTCTCACTTCCTCCCTCTCCTTGATCAAGGCCTGTTTCAAAACTTTGCCCACCCTGAGTCATCTTTCCCATTTCCACCCCTCTCAGCTCCCACCCTGAACTTGGGTGCCCAGTTAGCAATGCCGAGACTTTGAGACATCCTCCCGATGCAAAAAACACTAGAGAATTGTAAATGATATTGCATTATAATTATTGCAGGAATTGCTAAAAAGTGCTGGAAAGAGTACCTCAGGATAATATGAAATGAAGAGTCAACTCCTAATGCAAACATATTTTTGATTTTTGTCACATTTTGATAATTCTGTTAATTAGTTTGAAAATATTGAATCAGATTGTCACTTTGATTATACGGCTGGGTGAAAAATTTGGGAATCTACAGGATGTGTCCCCCCCCGCCCCCCCCATCTCTGTTAGACAATAAAGGAATATTAAAAGAGAAAGTAAGTGCAAGAGGGAATATATTCAATAAAAAAATGACCTCCCTCTCTCCTGTCTAAGTAAAATTGTTATCGAAAAAAATCTATCATTATCAGGAAAGTTACCATTCTGTTTTTTTAATGATGAATGGTACTTTTGTTCATTATTACCATAAAAGCTATGAGAAATATCACAGACAATTATCCGTTTTGTGGAGGCTATAAATAACTTGTCAAGGATTTTGATGAATTGCTTTGAATGTAGTTGCTGCAAACATTGTGATAGCATCAGCAAACTGTCCCTCAAACTTCCTATTCAAGAAGTAGGACACATATTGTAACCAATTCTTACTAATTAGTCATTGTTAACAAACAGAACTAAGAGTAAAATTGCCATTTTAGGATCAAAAGGTTAGTCCAGTTCGGAGAATAAGGTTTCTGCCAAAATCATTTCTGCTAACAAATAGAGTGCGTAATTATCTTCCAAAAGTAGACACAGATGTGTAGCAGAATGGGCCGCAACTCTGGATAAAAACCCAGCAAGATTTGCTTTTAATATAATTCCTCTCAAAATATTTCAGTATTATATATAATAGTTAAAAAATAATATTAATCATTGCATTTGATATCGAGCCATATCACATTGTCAAGGCACCTCAAAGCGCTTCACGGGATATAGTATAGAGTGATGTATGTGTATTTTGTGGGTGAATGAGACAGCAAATTTGTGCACCACAATGTCCCACATCAGCCATGGAGTGATGGACCAGTTTTATGTGGGGAATTGTTGGCCAAGACACGGTGAGAAACTTTTTTCGAGACGTGCATGGGATCATTCATCTGAATAGGCAGACAGGACCTTAGTTTAATGTTTCATCCAAAGTATGGCACTACTGAAAATGCAGCACACTCCCAGCACTGCGTTGGAATATCAGCATAGACTATATGGGTTCTAAATCCCATTTATAAGGGAGATGAGACAGTAAATTTTGCATGGCAAGATTTTTTGTGTGTAAATTTATTACATAGTTTCAGATCTAGTGCTGTTGTTTGACATAGGAGTAGAACTGAGAAACGAGTACATTTTGCATTACAAAAAGGGAAGCCTTGTAGGAGAAAAAAGCTAATTAGCTTATCAAGTTTGTTCTTTTCTTGACTATGCAAAGCCTATTGTATTGTGGACTGCACCCACCCATTCTTTGTCCTATTGCAAAATTTCAGAACAGATTCTTCCTTGTCCCAAAAGATAATGTGAGGATGTAAATTATCATTTCTTCATTTTAGATTGAAACAAATGGCTAAAGTAACCAAAATACACATTTCAACTAGTTGGTAAAGTTACCAACCTTGGCAGGGTGCGTTTAGAATGGGATTTCCAGTGGATTTCAATATCCCAGTTTCTCTTTCAGATGCTACGTTTAAGCGTTCTCCAACTCAGTGTTAACCAGTTTAACAGACAATGGAATCTGTTCCAACACAATTGCAACATCTGGTTTGGGAGAGATTACACCAGGATTGAGAACATAGGAAAGAAATATGATATTTTATGAGCAAATATTTTGGAGAAAAAGTAAATTTCCTTTTCCTTAAGTTTGGCAAAGCACAGAACGGAAGTTACAGT